CACTACACCGGTGATTTTTGGGCCGGCCTACCGAAGGCACAACACAATCCCTTAGTCTCGCTGAGTTTCCATCCCAATCCCATACCGGCTTCTATCCCAATTCCGGATCTAGCAATCCCCCCCCGCGCCGGTGTCGGTGCCGGGGGCCAGCGCCATCGGGACGGCACTCAGTCGGCCACACGCACTCAATGGTTAGCGCTTAGCACCGGCGGCTAGCGCACGCCCGGCGTGTTATCGGCCGTGAGCCGCTCCAAAACGGATGCAGTAACTGGTCGATATAGGCAGTAAGCAGATGAGGAGATGCAGGTGGATTGATAACCGGCAAGCTTTTGTATTTTACGAGGGCGAAGGGTCGAAGTCGGCTGCTAAGCCGTGAGCGGATTTTATCAGATGCCGGTTCACTATGACCTTTATCCTGGTCCTGGTCCGCTGACGCACTCTTGGAGAGCCGAATCACAGCAAAACTCCATCCACGACTGTATCTATACGGCTTACGCTTTTCTGAAAACGTCTGCGTTTGGCCTACGGGCCCGGCCGGCCGGCCGGCCCCGATTGGTGATCCACCAGTGACGTCACTGGTAGTGTTAAGCTGATTGGCGAATAATACATGGGGAGAACCGGGACGACATCCCCCTGGAATCGCCTCGTTTTATGCTCGCTGTCAAGGCCCTATGCTCGCTGTCAGTAGTCTCTCGTCTTGGTCTGTGTGGTGAGGTGGAGATTAGTATTTATTATTTATATACACTGTGGGGATTAGGATTAGGAACAAATTAGGATTGGGGTCGCATTTTGTTGTGCATTTCAATCTGTCCTCCATGGATGAAGTATGCCTAATCCATGTGTCCTCTTTGCTATTGCGATGGAATGACAATGACCATTTCGAGGTTATAGCCAAGCTAAGAATATTAAATTAAATATGAAAATTGACAATTCTATCTACTTCTGAATCTAGGTTTTGATATTCTACCTTCTATTTGCCTTTGGTTTTATTTCATTATTCAAATTGTAAAGTTTGTGTAGGTCAAGTGCGTCAAGTGTAGGTGAGAAGGCTGGATATTTTTGCTTTTGTTTGAATGTCTTGTGATGTTTATATCAAACTCAACCTCTGTTGGACAATGGATAGTTGCTGATTTATGCCCAGTTTTTTATGCTCATCTCAATCTAATTTGATGATAAATTGTAACAATCAAATTTACAGTTTTCATACATTTTGCATGCAATATTGCTTTTGTGGCCTCTTCATCTTATCATCTTGATTCTATGAATTTCTATTTTCTACATTGCTCTGTATGCCATTTTCCTTATCCTGTGAATGTGCTCACAGGTCACATGTTGATGTGTCTTTCTTCGTACCCTGTGCTCCCATGTGTCATTCTCCTTATTCTGTGCCCTTTGTGTTCCTTACCTGACTGCTCATTCTGTGCTCCCCATACCTATATCATTCTCCTGACTTGAAGTTCCCCACGTGCTAATTTCCTGACCATGTGCCCTCTATGTCAATGTACAATATTTCTGATCCTGTAGCTTTCCTTGTGTCACACTCCTGACTCTGTGATCCCCATGTACTTATCCCCATTTGTTCCTAACTTCTTATCCTGCCCTCTATGTGTCATGCTCCTTATTCTGTGCTCTGTATGTGCCTTTCTCGTTATCCTGTACTTGAACCTGACATGCCCTCAATGTATGTATAATTTTCCTTATTCTGTGTATTCCCCCAGTCCCCATGCATTATTTTTCTGATCCTGGGCTCCCCATGTCATTCTCCCAATCCTGTGTTCTCTCCTTCTGTGATTTCATTAACCATGTGCTCTTCTGCCATTAACCATCTGCCCCTGTGCTCAATGACACATTGCCTGCCTTGTGCCATTTTTTATGATTCTGTGCTCTCCATGTACCATCTTTTCATGCTCCAGTGTCCTTTTCCATTCTCCTGGGACTTTTCTAAGCCATTTCTTTGACCCATGTGCTCCCCATGTGTCATTCAGACCCTATGCAACTTTGACCCAAGTGCCATTATTCTATGATAGGTACTGGCTTGAGTTTAGCACTTCCTCATGTATTTGTCATTCTCTCATCCATGTGCCATTTTTCTGTCTCTGTGCTGCCATGGAGTGTCAGGTGTGAGCACATTTTCTTGTCTCTGCTGCTTTTTGGACAAAAAGCCAAAAGGTCAGCTTCATTGTGACCTGTGACCTAACTTCTAAGGTCAAGGGATGAAGTCCTTGGACCTTGGCCGGGACAGATTGAAGTTTGACTAGAGGCTTGGTGACGATCTGAAACAATAACACAGTCAGCAGTCGGTTACATCAGTCACATAAGCGTCCATGCCGGCAGTCTCGGAAGGGCGGCGGTCGGGCATGTCAGGTCTTCAGGAGGAGGAGGCCGGCTCAAACAAGGACTGTCTGGCGTGCCGACTGAGCAGCGGAGGCGTCATCAGCCTGGCCTCGCTGTACGTGGCCTACCAGGGCCTGAAGCGGCCGCGGCCCGTCGAGCGCTCCCTGATGATGGCTGCCGCTGGAGGTGAGAAACCTGGCGCCGGAGGTCGGTATGGCGGGAGTGTGGAGGACCCTGCAGAGCTAACTGAGAGCCGAGAGGGTTAGAGCGATCGGCTCAGTAGCTAGCAGTTGTAATATGAGCCTCAATTTCCTCAAGCTCCCTGGTTTATGTTCTGCGGACATTTTTCGGGAGGATGCTCCGTCTTTCGAAAAAAATGATATTCGATTACATTCAAAGTTCATACCAGTTAACCTGGACTGAGAGCGACCTATGACTGCCATTGCTGCTTACTTTATAGCTAGAATTATTCACTGTCTAGTTGTCTACGATATTGTCTCGAAAATGTCGGTTGTCGGTATTCCCGTAGCATTAAATCGTTATTGATCTTTGTCTTTGATCTTTGTCTTTGTAAATTGAAAAAGTGGCATTGATTGGCAATCTGAAAGTGCAGTTCACTTGTTGCATTGCTTACCGCCGTCGTACGATGATAGATAATAATGGGTAATCAGGCGTCTTTTTCTTTTTCAGTGATTTGCGGACTTGGAGTGGCGAGAATGCTGGACCTCCCTCCGTTTGGCCAGAATAAGCGTCAATAGTCAATCTTAAGCAGTAACAAACACTGACAGGTAAAGTCTATAACCACCTATTGTATCGGTTTGTAATTGCAATAAATTTTCTCATAATTGTTACATTGTAAGCATTTTGTTATGACGTTACCTTTTGCCTTTTGGTGCGTTTGTTTTCTCTACTTAGTAAAGTGCAAGCGTTCATTTGGCACCGGCAACATACCCAATCCTGTCAGCGTACTCACATCTCAACTCTCGGTCTATGTTCGCATGAATGCGTTATATGTATTTTTTATTGTAACTACTTTTTCGTATTCTTAGTGGTGTGACGGCTATCGATGCATCATGCAGCATGGATACTGGGTTAACGATCCATTCCGTTTCAGCGGTGGTGTTCAGCCATGAAGTCCCTGGAGGCCTACATAGTCGAGGACCACAACGAGGCGCTGGAGTGGATCTACCGTGAGATCGGCGCCAAGCGGCTGCCGGTGCACGGCTCCACACTGCTGCACTTTGACTCCCACCCAGACCTGCTGCTACCTACTGACCTCGGCGCCGAGGAGGCCGCCTGCCGGGAGTCCCTGCTGCCGCAGCTCAGTATCGGCGACTGGATCCTACCGGCCGTGTTCGCTGGCCACTTGGGCGACGTGCTGTGGGTGCGTCCGCCGTGGGCCCCCCAGCTGCCCGAGGGCGAGCTGCGCTGTACGATCGGGGAGACGGCCGACGGCCTGGTGCGGCTCGACTGCCGCCACCCGTACTTTGTCTCCGAGTTGCTGTACGCGCCCGCAGAGGAGCTGAGAAACACTCGGACGTTCAGTATAGTGGTGGTGACGCTAGGCGAGGACACGAGCACGGCCAAAGCGGTGGCAGAGCTGGCGCCGCGACTCCGCGATACACCATACATCCTTGATATCGATCTGGACTTCTTTTCCACGCACGACCCGTTCCGTGCCATGCTACCGAAGGCCGATATGCACGGACGCTTACAAAAACTATTCGCGTTCGAGGTGAGCGACGACATCACGGCAGCGCAGGAGTGCCGGCGGGCGCTGCTCACCGAGGCGAAGGCGGTGTTTGACCACCTGGACCGGGTCGGCAGTCTGGAGGGGTTCACCGGGCCGTCACCAGAGACAGAGCTGATGCACGGCCTGCGGGAGCTGGCGGCGGCCGTGGGGGAGCACTACACACACGAGGAGGTGGACTGGCAGCTGGTGTACGACGCGGCGTGCACGTTCGACACGTGCGGCCTGCCGCACCACGTGTCTACCGACCAGCAGGTGGAGAGCTCTGTGGAGCAGGTCAGTGCTGGGGGCGAACACGGCCGATGGTGGATATGTGAAATATACCGTTGAGTAGGACAAATATTATTGTCAAGTGATATTTTCGATTAGCTGGATGACGGTATAAATTTACATTTATCATGTTATATGTGCAATTAAGCAATATGTATGTTAACATGCTTCATGTTATCTTTGGTGATATAGTTACATTTTTACACTGTGCAGGGCAGAATTTCTGAGTCAGAGTCTGATTCAGAGTCGACCAGAGTCGTAGCAACGAGCCACGAGCTCTTGAGTGCTGGCATTAGCCTGTCGCCTCTGACTGTGCACATACCCTCTCCCCGCTCAGGTCAGTGAGTTCCTATCAGCGCTGCCGGAGCCGGGCTGTGTGACGATCGCCCGGTCCAGTCTGGACGATTTCTGCCCGCCGGACCAAGTAGAGGACATCCAGCAGAGCATGCTCGACCGACTGACCTCGCTCTACCCCAGACTCAGGGTGAACGTCAAGTATGAGGTGGACGAAGAGCCAGATCCAGACGGTGATGCGTCGTGGGGTTCAGGGAACTCGCCACATGGGGACGTGATGTGATGGGCTGAGGTGCTGTGATAGCGCGCGAGTGGGTTTTGTATGGTCCGTTTTATACGTGTCCGCTGTGTCAATTATTGGCATGGACTGTATTCACCTGAATAAATGTAACCTCCATTGTGAAGTGATGACTTTGTAATTACAGCGGTACGAGCGTGCCCCGATGCAGACAACAGTGCAGGAGAGGAGGATTCAACACATTTGCGTCATTTCCGTCCTACAATGGTGCGTTAACCCTCACGATATAGAATCTTGGTATGGACACTGTCCGGTAAATCCCACTAGTTTGCACGGGCCACTTGAAAACAAAAGTTCTAGCACTGAGGGCAATATACAGGGGATGACGGCAGATATGCCCAGCGCGAGAATGGGTGTACGCATTGAGCGCGAGTGGTCCGTACACATCTGAGTGCACTACCTGAACGACGTAAAAGCACTTTAAAAATTGAAACATGGTTATGGAATGCATTCATAGGCGTAGGAACAGGGGGGGCCGGGGGGGCCATGGCCCCCCACTTTTCAGCCATTTTTTAAAGTAAAATCTTTATTTTTGATTTAAATACACAACTAAGCGCAGGAAATGATTCAGCAAGGTGAGATGAGCACAAAACTGCAAAGAATTTCTTCATAGGGGTATTGGGGCTCCCACAAACTGACATTGAAGTTTCGCTGGCCCCCCCACTTTTCGTGAGGTTCCTACGCCCATGAATGCATTTGAAAATGACAAACATGACACAGCATAATAATGACTATGGACGAATCGTATGCAAATGGCGAGACACCGAACTGGACGGAACGAAGGCACAGTTATGATCACATTGAACAGGTCCATTGCTGCACTTTCAGCCATTGGAGGCATGGTAAGCTCTGGGAGCACCTAACGTTAGCAAAGCCGCAGTTCGGTCGTGCAATAACAAAACAAGCAAGCAGAATCAACGATCAGCTTTTACACACTAAAACACTTTCACGAGCCCTTGAGCGCTAGCATCAGGCTAGACAACTTGATCACAGACGACATAACGCCCCCAGTTGCACGCACGGAATCAATTAGTGCGCTATTTCTCTTTCTTCTTCTTCCGTTCCCCATCGGCGCCCCCTTTGCCGCTCGGCTGTTCGGACAGATGTCGCGTATTCATCCACACCACAATGGCGCACAGCACGGCCATGTAAGCGGTGAGCACGGCCAGGGCGGTGGCGTCGGACGCCTCTATGGTCCGGGTGGCCAGATTGACGCAGCCGGTGGCCAGATTGGCCAGACAGAACAATGCGAGACCCTTGTCGCCAGAGGCGGCCATTAGACTGGGCACGCGCTGGGCGGTGCCGGCGGGGATGACACCCAGCGCCTGCAGTAGGGTGATGATCAGGTCCACCAGCAGGTACACCGAGCTGATACCGAGCACCTGGGCGGCGCACGCCACGATGTAGGTGCCGTTGGCGAGCCGGCGAGAGATCCTGTAGGGACCGGCGTCCATACAGGCAGACAGACGCCACAGGCCGGCCGCCACCAGAAACAGCGACACGCAGCAGCCGAGCCAGCGCAGCCAGCCGGCGCGCGGGCGGTGCAGGTACGTCCCCAGTGCCACACCCAGCAGGTACAGCGCAACATACCCGGGCAGCGACACAAACGCCTCCCGGTTGGCCTCGATCAGAGACCCGTCCCGCGGGCCCTCGGCGGTGATCCATTTCTCAGCGCCGGCGTCCAGCACCGTCTGCTGCAGGACCGCCACCAGCACTGCCAGCACGGCGCTCAGACCGGCCGGCAGCACCACCAGCCACAGCGGCGCCACCAGCTTCACAATCGCCAGCGTAAAGAAGAAGTTCCAGTGCACGCCGTACTCGGAGACGTGCTCGTGGTATCCGGAGAGCTTCACCAGCGTCAGTCGGCCGGCGCCGAGCGCGGCGAGACCGAGCGCCGCGCGCACTGAGCGCCAGTAGTCGGCCAGACGCGCCGCCAGCGGCCGCCGCCGGCCGGCCGGCGCGCGCGACTCGGGCGACGTGAGGCCGTGGAACGCGGCGAAGTAGCCGACGGCCACGTCCATCAGGCCGGCGCCGTACGTCTCCGCCTTGGCCAGCCGGCGCGGGAACACGCGGTAGTCCACGGCGAGGATGCAGAGCGCCGTGGCCAGGTGCAGGTGTGCGCGCGCATTGGTGATGCACGGCAGACGCGGAGTGGCCACGGAGGCGCGGCGCAGGGCGGCCGTGAGAGACCCGGCGAGCGGCCGGCGGGAGGCGCAGGCCAGAGGCGACAGCGCCGCCAGGGCGGCCAGGAAGGAGCACAGGCTGAGCGCGTGGTCGGCCAGGAGAGTGACGGAGCCGATCAGCGGCAGCACCAGGATGCTGAACTCCAGCAGAGCTGAAAGAAGCGAGACAGGGGGATAAACATTCAGCAGAGCTGACCGAAACGTAAACCAGCGGTCAAACTTTGGCAGAACTGACGGTAAAGCGAAAGCGAACAAGGGGTCAAACATCGGCAAACGTTGCGAACGTTATTGTGCCCTACTAACCTCTCAGTCGTGCGGCCGTTCTTTCGGGCAGTTTGCTCGTCGGTAAGCACAGATTCGGCCACAGCAGGGGAAGGAGAGTGGCCACCGCCAGGGTCGATAGTGGCAGCTGCATCAGCAGTGACGCAATGTCCAAGAACGTCGTGCCCGGAAGGTTGCTGATGAACTGCACATGCTTCTCCTCGTAGGTTGACATGATTTTATTCTTTTGATGATGATGCAATGTGTATCAATGGGTCAAATGCTCCAGAATCTAGAAAAAAAGAATCATTGGATGATTCATGATATTCAGACATTTGGGCAGATAATCACCATGAGAAATCATAATCATAGGTAATAATGCCATAAGTATCATACTGTCAGTGCATTCCAAGGTTTTCTTAGCTATGCATTGACATGTGCACTGTGTAGTTGCATGAAGTTTCTCAGAGCTGTGCTCTATAGAGCTGCCTGCTCCCACAGGGGAAAGAGCGATGGATGCCATATGCCTGAAGGTCTGGGTCTGCCATATTATTATACACGACTTATAGCTTTTGAGCATACCGACCAGACACTGTTGACTGTTGAGTATTGCTAGTGTTACTTGACAGTAACTCAAACTCATCTTCAATACTGTAGGTGCTAGTTTATAAGCCCCAAGTTTGAGAAACTCATTAGATGCTGTCAACATTCTGTGAAGTGTAATGACTGATGTGGGTTTAAAAAGATGCTTGGCTATGAAAACATGTAAATTTTCAATTGAAACATAACATAAAAATAACCTCAATAAACATGAGGGATTCTTCATTCTCAGCTCACTTACCTGATCTAGCATTTGAATGTCAATGCTCTAACAATGAAAATCCTTAACCATAACTGGGTCAATTCAATGATATTACTAGGTATTAAATCCATTGAAAAAATGTATACTGATAAGTAAAGTGAGCAGTGAAAACCACAAAGTTAAAAGTACCCAAGAAAAACTGACAAAAAGACAAGATGAAGAGCCATTTCAACCTCAAAACATTCAGTTTGAGTTTCACCAAGACAGGGTATGTGGTTTATGAGCCCGTGGTACTCATACTGGTGTGAGCGAATTTCAAAGATAAAACAACAATCTACACTATACCCATGGACTGTGCGGATGTCCAGGAGAATCAAGATACTAGATAGCCCTATCACTATAGCCTCGATCAAGGCCCATATGCCTTGATATCAGGACCAGGCCCATGTCGTCCCCTATCTCCGCGTGTGTCCACTAACACGAATGACGTCACGCATGTGGGCGGAGCTATGGGCGGAGCCTAACGCACGCGGCAGTCCAAGCCGCCATATTTGAATTTATATTTTAATAGAATCTTGCCGATATTTTGGGTGAAGTCAATTTATATGGATAGCTTGGTGACAGTTTAGCTATACGAATAATAATTTATTATGGATGTGCGTATATTCAGCTTGGAATTGCAATTAAAGTTCCGCACCGCATAGATTCGAACTCGGGACCTTTGGAATACTGCGCGGGCACGCTAACCACTACACTACCGCGACCGCGCGGCGGCCGGCGGCAGGGAGGCTGCGGAGACATGAGGGGACATTTTACGCTTTTGTGAAAAAAGCAAAAGATTTAGCGAAAAACACGTAATAGATAACTTGCAGAAAATTGTCTGCTCTTTCAGATAAGATACTTAGGTTTGATATATCTTGTGCAGACTTCATTCTACAGTGCTTCGAAAATCGCTCATTTACATGGGGATTGAACGGGGCTTCGAGACTTGACTCCAAATGACGTCACGAGCTGACGTCACGAAAAGGTAGAATCGCCGGACGACCCTACCTGGTATATAGGGCCTTGATCAGGACAGGACAAGGATAGGTCAAGGCAAGGCCTTGACCTGACTTGGCCTTGACCAAACATAGGTATGGTAAATTGGTATAGCCAAGATTACTTTACTTATAGGTTGACGTATAGCCACCCAAGATGAGATGACCAAACCTTGACCAAACCTGCAACTCAAGGGTGAAGTCAACCAGACCAGCAAGTCACCAGTATCTTGCATCAGTACCAAATAAGTAATACAAACAAATCAGCAACATGCACTACCAATGTAGGTGCATCTCACAATCCAATAATTTCTTCTCTCAGTCATCAACTCAAAATGTGGTTGTAAATCATTTGCTACTGCTGACTCACCATAATTGACTCAATCACGCGGTATTTGTCGTAGTTGTTGAGACGTTTGTTCCAAACAATGCGCAAAATTTATTGCAAGCGACTGCATATACACGTGTTGTTGCCCAGCCATTGGGACTCGGTACTGCGAATTTAATTGAATTTACTTATTCATTGGAAGGAGTGGACGTAAAACTGGGATCACATAAGCTGGCACCAGTCTCGATGTCTCCAGCCCTCCACTGAATATGGGTTCCATCCATTCAGAAGTACTAGATTGGAGTTGTCCAGAAAAACTGCAGATATATTTGTCTTCTCTGGACGAGCTTATTGGTGCTTGTCAGCTCACCAACGGTGCCACCCCGGATGAGATTGACGAAGCAATTACACGATGCATACATACCGCTGCGCGAATCGCCGGATGCTCCAAGTCGCGACGTCCCCCGAAGCCCTGGTGGTCGCCTGATGTGGCAGTGGCGCGGGATCGCACTCGTTTCTGGCATCAGATATGGGTAAACTGTGGCCGTCCTACCCTCTCAGCAGTGGCACAGTGCTATCAGGCTGCAAGATCTGCTTACCGTCACGCCCGCAGACGTGCAGCAGTGGCGCGGATCGAGAGCGAGGCCCACACTCTCCGACTGCTCCGCCGTGACAAAAATCTGACAGCCTTCTGGCGACGTGTGCAACAGATACGGCGTAATGGACTCAAGTCGGCCTCTGATCTATCCGCCGCCGACTTCCGCACCCACTTCCAGACTGTGCACCAAGATAGTCACAGGCAACTGACTCTGGACCAGCTCCAAATTGCTGAACATGTAGATTCTCGACTAAGGAGAATCCGTAACGATGCATCCGAAAGAACGGTTTCAGCTGGACAAGTAGCAGGCCTCATTCACCGGTTACAGCGTGGGAAGGCACCTGGTATAGACGGCATCACGGCGGAGCACCTTCTCTATGGTCAGTCGCCTTGTCTCCTGTCAGCTCTGGCGCACCTTCTCTCTGTCTGCCTGTCCACGTGTAGCGTGCCAGCTACCTTCGCTGACAGCGTTATTGTACCCGTGTTGAAGAAATCTCAATCGGACCCTAACTGCTTGGACAACTATCGACCGATTTCAATCACAACCTGCGCATCTAAGCTGCTCGAGCTGTTAGTGCTAGACGAACTGAACGCCTCATTTGAACCTCATCATCTGCAGTTTGGTTTTATCTCCAATCGGGGCACCATGCAAGCGTCTCTGTTGGCTGGAGAGACCATACAGCAGAATCGAGCCAGGGGTCTTCCTGTTTTTGTCGCAAACCTTGACGCGAGGAAATGTTTTGACCGAATATGGCATGACGGTCTGTTCTTCCGTCTGGAAGATTATCTTAGCGCCTACTGCTGGTGCCTCATGGTCACCTGGTACCGCCACCTCTCTGCAAGGGTGACTTTTGGTGGCGCCACATCTGAAGCGTTCCTGGTCTGCAGGGGCACCAGACAAGGGGCCATCTTATCGCCGACCCTTGCAAACATCTTCCTCTTACCTCTTATTGAGGTCCTAGATCGCAGCGGTCGTGGAGCATATCTACACAGCCAGCACGTACCCGCTATCTGCTACGCTGACGATATTCTCCTTATATCTGCGAACGCGCGTGACCTCGGTGCAATGCTGCAGATGGTGGGAGAATTCGCGGCTACTTGGCGCCTCGACTTCGTTCACCCTGAACCGGGAAAAACCAAGAGCCATTGTATTATATTTGGACAGGAACTATTCACGAGCACACCGAGGTGGACACTGTCAGGACAGCAGCTGCAGATCCGGCAGACGACCGAGCACCTCGGTACGGTGCTTGATGACAACCTCAGCACAGACAGCCACGTGGCTCAGCGCATCAGGCGTGCTTGTGCATCATTCTATGGCCTCACACCCCTGGGCAATTTCACCAACCGCCTGACTGCTGCTGACATAATCTTCCTCTGGAAGACAGTAGTGCTGCCGGCACTGATCTTCGGCTGTGAGACGGCTCCCCTCAGTTCCGCCGACATTGAGCGTCTAGACTCGCGACAGGCTTCGCTGATCAAGGCAGCGCTGGGTCTGCCGCGTTCTGCGCACCATACGGCTCTTTTGATTGCTGCTGGGGTGCCTCGCATCGGTGAGGTGCTGCGAGGTGATGCCCTCCGCGCATTCCGTAATGCTTTCCGCGCTGACCACCGTCTTCGCCAAGCCTACGTCACTGGACTGGCCAGACTTGCTACGTACCCCGAGCAGTTGGATGGGTCGTTTATTGGCCACGTATATAATCTGTGTGGTGGGAATTTCGGCGCTATCATGCACATCGCTGCTGGGTACGTCGATCACGACATAGTTCGGGCACCACTCCAAGAAAGCGGTCTTATAGACAGTTTGAAGATGGTTTTGGCAAGCAACTGTCAGGCCTCGCGGCGCCTGTTAAGACTACTAACCTCCTGAGTGCTGATTGACTGTGTGTGTGGGTGGGTGGGGTGGGGGGGGGTATGTATCTTTTTGTCGCATGACGATGCTGAATAAACAATAATAATAATAATAATAAGCAGGCAACGAGGCGATACTTCAGTTTTTTACATTGAAGTAGCACAATTTTGATGATGTTTCACTGTTTCTCCTTGGTCAATTACATAAAAAACAGCTTCAAAACACTTTGATTCGCAACATTTACCGAAATATAATAAAGAAACCACCCTATCGTCAGCACGCTACGTCAACTGCCAGGACGCAAAATGGCGACGCTGTTTTGCCTCTGATGCGCCAGATATGTAACCTTAAATAATTGGATACGACTACTAAATACAATATGCCGATAATAGACTATTTTCCTCCTAGGGGACACTGGGAAATCGGGGTTTTAGGGTGAAGGTGATTGAGAAACGTGTTTGCTAGCGACGCGAACCAATGATGTGGCCTTGGCCACAAATAGGGGATATCTTAGGTAAGGGTAAATGGAAAAATGTTAGGTTAAAGAGTTCTGGAATTGTCTCCAGGCCGGCCGAAGGCCGGCCTGGAGCCTATTCCAGAACTCTTTAACCTAACATTTTTCCATTTACCCTTACCTAAGATATACTCCTTTTCGTCCCTAGCGCACAAACCCCTGGAAACGTGGTAGGTTAGGTTAGGTTAGGTTAGGTTAGGTTAGGTTAGGTTAGGTTAGGTTAGGTTAGGTTAGGTTAGGTTAGGTTAGGTTAGGTTAGATTTGGTTTGAATCTAAAACCCCCCTCCCCCACCCAAAAACCCCGATTTCCCAGTGTCCCCTAGGATGAAAATAGTTCTTATTGTATTTAGTAGTCGCATCCAATTCTTTTAAATTACATATCTGGCGCATCAGAGGCAAAACAATGTCGCCATTTTGCGTCTCTGCAGTGTGTGCGTAGCGGCTAGCGCATCAAAGGTGGGGTGATTTCTTTATTATATTTCGGTAAGTGGTGCGAAGTTAAGTGTTTTGAAAATGTTTTTGATGTAATTGGCCATCGAGAAGGAGAAATGATCATCAAAATTGTGTTTCTTTAATGTAAAAAACTGAAGTTTTACCGGCAACGAAGATCAAAGAAACTTCAAACTTGTTGTATGCTGTTTCAGGGTGCACTCTTTGATATGGGGTTTCGCCTCGGTTTCAATTTCAATTCAAATTCTGTTTCTGGGTTGATTTCTGCAATGTAAAATGAACTCTTGTGAAGTTCTATTTTGGTGTCAATTTTTATTCATAGTTCAAAGTTTCTAAAATGAGCAATGAGCAAACTGCAAACCACATACAGTATTTTTCTGAATCAATATTAATCCGCACCAGCTGAGCTGATGTGAAAAATCACAACATCATCATCAAGCTGAAAATCCACATAATTTAACACCAGATAAATTGTGAAATGCATACCATAGAACTATGAAATGTTCACCAAAACCAAGAAAGCCCTCACTTGCATAATACTGTTTATAATACACTGTGCATAATACATTGTGTCCAGACTCCAATGTAAAAATTCCACCACACCAATATAAAACCACAGTGACACAGTAGGTATTGCTCACTGACTGACTTGATCAAACATTTTTACAATTGCATAGAAAAATTAATAGATTCATACATAAATGTAGTGGCATAAATTTACAAATAGATAGCAGATATGGTACATTTAAGGTCAATGATTTTTCCAGAACCAAATTGTACCTTGACCTAGTATTTGGTTGACGTGTTATTTTGTATTCGACTGCATATTTTGAGATACATAAACATATACTATTGATAAGTTAATGTTTGTTACAAATGTGCATATTGACTCTGGTAAAGAAACATTAACATATTTTTAATTTTCCAGATACTTTGTGAGCTGTTAAAAGCTTGAAGAACAGCAAACATACCAAATGGTTGTGAAAGAAATGCCATCAGGCAAGAAACAGAAAAAGCATAAACTTGCCAGAGATGATTCTGATTGTATTGAAACTCCAAGTGTGGAAATTCCCCATGACACCCTAGTAAATGATAATGCCAGTACACCACATTCAGCTTCACTCAAGAAAAGTAAGAAAAATAAGAAGAGCCATGCTTCAAGTGGTGATAACATTACAGAGCCAGACCCAGTACCACACTCATCTGAAAAGAAGACTGGCAAGAAGCGGAAAAGAGAGCAAATAGACACGTCCGCTGAGGGGTCGCTAGAGCAATCGGCGCCTATTGATGCTTCAGAGAATGTGAAACCAAAAAAGAAGCGGAAGAAGGAACGCAGTGAAGACGTCGGAAATGAACCCGCCTCCGAAGAGGCCAATGACACTGTCGAAGGGCAAACTTCACCTGTATCGTCGGAGAAGAAGAAACCACGCTCCAAGAAAGGCGAAAACCCTGTAAAGCCGAAAGACCCGAAGCTGGAAAAACGCACCGTGTTCGTGGGTAATCTCCCGGTGAAGACGAACCGCCGCGACCTGAACCGCTTCTTTGCCAAGTACGGTAAGGTGGAGTCAGTGCGTCTGCGCAGCGCGCCGCGGCTGGACGCCCAGAAACCGATCCGGATGGCCGTCATCACGCACCGGTTCAGCGAGGACCGCTCGTCGATCAACGCCTACGTGCGGTTCACCACGGAGGCCGGTGCTGAAAAGGCCGCCGCCGAGGCCAACGGGCAGCTGTACGAGGAGCACCACCTGCGCGTCAACATGGCGATGTCCGAGTCGCGGCCCGACCCTCAGCTGGCCGTGTTCGTCGGTGGCCTGCCGCTGAACGCCGAGGACAACCATCTGTGGTCGCACTTCGCCGACTGCGGCACCATCGTCAGTGTGCGCATCGTGCGCGACCGCGAGACCTCGGTCGGCAAGGGGTTCGGCTACGTCAACTTCAGTGCGGAGGAGGCGGTGCCGCGCGCGCTCAAACTGAACGGCAGTCAGCTGGAGGGTCAGACGATCCGCGTCCAGAGGTGCCACGCCACGGCGCGTCCCAAAGTGGACCGGCTCACCGGCAAGAAGCTGCGGAAAGCTCTCCCCGAGGGTGAGAAACCGGCGCCAAAGGCGCAGGATAACATGCTGGCGCCGGTTAACAAATTCTCGGGCGATGCTACTGCAGAATCCAAGTCGTCACTGAAAAAGAAAAAGGGCATGAAGAAGAAAGAGCGCCGGCCTGACGGAAGGAGCCAGAAGAGGAGCCTGGCGCAGAGTCTGAGCAAGACGATCGCGCCGATGCCGAAGGCGGTCTCCGTGCCGGCGATCTCAGTAGGAGGCGTGACGCCGCAGAATAAGAAAATAAAGTTCGATTTCGGCGACGATGATGGCGCACCGGACGCAAAGAAGACCGATTCCGAGAAGCTGAAAGAGATCAAGATGAAGAAAGAGGCGAAAAGGAAGAAGAAGGCAAAGGAGAGCGAAGCGAAAAAGAAAAAGAACATTGTTGAACCTCTGACCAACATTTTGCCATCATAGTTTGTACGTTTTTCTGGCCGGGGATTTTGTTGCTCTGATTGACAAAAATATTGGCAGTGCTCGCAGTTATGGTAGGTAAGTATCTGATTCATTGGATCTGTGATACCAATGTTTCGGGGCTTGCAACTTCGTTTCGCGCTAATCGCTGAATCGATGGGTATACAAATACAGCGCATGTGTCTTGTACATTTTGCAACTGCCTGAAAAGCGAGACGCGATGAAGTCCTTTCTACGACATCACTCCACTTCAGATTGATCCAGACACTGACTTGGGTCGTGGCGGCAAAATTTTATATTCACGTTATTAGAGGGATGATCGATTACAACGTTTAACATACAATTATCTGTATAACGAGACACATTTCGCTTGATAACACCGTTGGCTTGGGGATAAATTGCGAACATTGGTGTAACGGCAAGCCGTTTGGATAACCAGGGAACCTTTAGTGAGGGTTAGCGAGCCTAGATGTAACGCAATGAAAATGTCCCCTCCACTTCAAATAACCCAAGTAAACGTTTCTCAAGTTTTCAGACCAGCGCACACTCCTTACAATTAAAGTATATAGAATCCCCAGTACGTGGCATTAAACAGCACAAAGGAAACGGGAAACACCAGCCTCGAATACTTGTCAATGCTGTTGACATCGTGCACCCTGGGCAGCGAGCGACTCAGGGCTGATGCGCCACGACGGAGTGAACTGAGTACCCTTCGGCGACCCCGCGCCGCTCCCGTCCCCGTCCCGGCCGGCGTTCGGCCCTCCGCGACCGCCGTGCCGGCCCTGCGCCTCAGAGGACCTAAAGGTCGCACTGTGCTCAGGTCGATACCACCACCATCGGCCTGGCTCGGTGTCCCCCCAGAGACGCATTCGATGTCTCGGCCGTCACCATCGCCAGCGCAGTTCGACACTCTGCTGTTGGCCTCCGCTCCACCGCTGACATCTCGCGGTTTTTGTGAGTTTTTCTTCTTGGCCCGGGCGCCCCAGTAGGTGTAGTTGACGGCGGCATACTCGAGCAGGGCGGCGAACACGAACACGAAGCACATGACCAGGTAGATGTCGATGGCCTTGACGTAGGAGATGCGCGGCAGCGAGGAGCGCACGCCCGTGCTGATGGTGGTCATTGTCAGCACCGTGGTGATGCCTGCGGAGGAGAGTGGAAGATGATCGGGTCAGACGTCATGAAAACTATGACTTTCGTCTCTAAGCATGGGGTGGTATTGCGTATTTATGAAACTTCGAAACAAAAGCTACTTGATGCTGAGTGTACGGACAATATAGTTTTTGGTGGTACTTAGGTATAAATTTATTGGTCGATGTTTGTTTTTGTTTTTGAATGTGCCGAGCGCCTAAACAAATATCTACATCGCAATCCACTTCGGCTTCTCCATCATTATCGCAATAGCCCATCAGCCTGATTGTCTCTCGCAGGGAGAGAGCCCCAGTAAGGGAGAGCAGAGCTGGGAGGTGTGGTGGGCTGGGAAGGAGTCGTGGTGGTGGACCGCGGTCAGAAAGCACGTCACGCACCCATCGATCAGCGCTGGTGTGTGCCGATCGGTCTGCTGCGGTGACACCCGCTCGGAGACCGTTGGTCAGTGATGTCACCAGCGGAGATCGAACAGCAGCGGCGTGAGAACAGCCGGAGAGGCGAGAGACCGAGAGAGCGCCGCGCGTTCACGACTAGCTGCTCAGCGGGACAGCCTACATTCAGGCGCTCAATGATAAAGCCATCTGGTGGCGATTGTAGTTACTAGAACTGTCAAAACTAACCGCTAGGGCGCAACCACAGTCCATTCGTCGCATTGGGAAATTGGGGAGAGAGAGAGGGGGGATATAAAGAGAGAGAGAGAGAGAGAGAGAGAGAGAGAGAGAGAGAGAGAGAGAGAGAGAGAGAGAGAGAGAGAGAGAGAGAGAGAGAGAGAGAGAGCTCGCGTACTTACCGAGCGCCACGCGAGCGCTGGTCGCCTCGTGGTTGATCCAGAACGACACCCAGGAGAGCATCACGATCAGGATGGACGGCAGGTAGGTCTGGAAGATGAAGTAGCCGATGTTTCTCTGCAGGCTGAAGGAGAGCGACAGTCGTTGGTAGACGCCGGTGGCCAGCCGCTCGGTGCGGTCGGTAGTGGCGTAACCGAGCACGGTGAACTGGGGTAGTTTAGCCTCCTCCACACCGACCACGGGCGTCTCCTTCCAGTACATAACGACGTCCTTCACCGTGTAGCCGTCTGTCGGCGGAGGGGGGAGGGGGCAGGGAAATAGGAAGGGTCTGATCAGATGTGATTGGAGCGGTCAGAAAATAGGAGGGGGGGGGAGGAGCAGCGGCCGGTGCTTTGGAAGGTCTTTTGTGGGATGAACGTTCAGCGGCCATCATTACGGAAGGATCGATTCAAGGTCACCGGCCGCACGAGGAGGGGGAGAAAAGTGGATTTTTTTGGGGGGACAGTCCAACAAAAGAAGTGTTAACAATTCCAGAAAAGCTGCTTTCATTGAGGCTGCTTGATGGTTCCTTTGCTCATTACAATATGAATAGTCGATTGTGAATTCCCGGTATTCGCTGCGCATAGCATAGGTATCAACAAATGCAAAACTATCGCATTGTACCCAAGCAACTGCGTTCAGCGAATGTCGCCTCTTTACCCAAACACGGCCGTTGTGAGTGATGACCGGCGGGCGCCCGGGGTGGGTCTGTATACCCGGTTACCACCAACACAGACCTCCGTGCTGACGTTACGTTATTCCGCAGTGTGTGCCGTTTCCAGGGACGGGCGGGTCGACGGCCCTGCCCCGGCGAGGACCACCATTGAGTAGGCATTGATCTTCACTGTCACAGTGGACAGCAACGGCCGTCAACGTGTCTGCATTCATCGGCCGCCCTTGGGCAGTGCAAACACTGCTGCAGGGCGCTCAATACGCGGGCGGACCGCGGTGGTTGGTCCATACCCCATGGGTCGTGAGCCGACCCTACCGGTCGCGGCAGGCTGGCCGTAGCTCTAGAGGCCACGGTCATGGGCACAGCACGAACCGTGGATGAACCGTTTACCGTGCCGGGGATAGCGAAAATGGCTTACAGCAACGCAAAGGTCGAGTTCGAAGCTCAACTTTCATGTTGGTCGGCAGACCCCTGCCCGAACGTCAGTTTACCGGCGATTAGTAGCCTATTCTCAATATTTTGCTTCGTTTTATTCAAGCTTTTAACTTGTGTTTCGAGTTAACCCGCGCCTCGTAGGGCTATCGGCGGACCCTACCACCCGAAGGGGGAGGGGAGGGGGGCGTTTCGGCCCCCACCAGGATCTCGGAAATTTACCGTCCGATTTTCAAAATTCAAACGGCGTTCGATAGCCCCACCGGGGAACTACCTTGTGACCAAATTTCATTGACCTACGTCAAACCGATAACGTCACAGGTCAGGTCAAAGGTCGGATTTTCACCGTTCACAGGCATTTCAAGAAATGTGTTGTGAAATCGAGTAAATTGGTAAGTTATTGAAAAACATCGATGGTAAATTGTTCGTCAAACACATACTTTGTTATCTGAGGTCACTGATACCAGGTCAGGTCACAGAGGTCAGGTCACTGGGGGTCACAATATGAAAGTGTCGTGTGATACATGTTTTATGGTCCATTTTACATGACAAATGCGATTATGTGGGTCAGGCAGCCTTTGGGGCCAGCCTAGGTCACGTTTTGGTGAAGGTCAGGTCAAGGTCAGGTCAAATTAAAGGAACTATCCCACCTTCTAAAATGTTGTCAAAACAGTTAAATTGTGCCCGACTTTTTAGATTGGATGACCAGGAACACGGTTCTGGCATTTATTTTTCATTAAACATCTTAGGCTTCCCATATTCCAAACACAAACTTTCAAATATGTGACGTCACGGCCCAAAATTACCTCCTTCCCCAGGCCACATTACTGCCATAAAGCTGATTCTTTTTACTCTGTAGGCACCACAACAAAGTTCAGACCAAGTTTTAAGCGATTTTTCAACGAACAAACCCATTTAAATCAGAATGACTAAACGAGGTGACGTCACACTAACGGTCGCTCCATGTTGAAGATAGGGCCTTGCGCAAGGCCCATTTTCAAATGAAGGGAACGAATTTCTTCAACACCAAGAGGCCGCGGGGGTTGCAACCTAGATAGATAGTGGTTTCTGAACCTCGCCGCAAACTTGGCTATCTCAACTCAAACCCCATGTTAAAGGTGGGATAGTCCCTTTAACCCGCGCCCCACTGGGGTCTGTGTATAACACGCCCTACTGGGGGGGGGGGGGGCTATTCATAGCCCCCCTCCTAACTCTGAAACTACTGGGCCGATCGTCAAAATTCAAACGGCGTCTGATAGCCCCGGAAAAAACTGTCGAGCAAACCCTAATTTCATTGACCTCGAGGTCACCGATGACGTCACAGGTCAGGTCAAAGTAAAAATTATTAGCATTTTGGCTTGTTCACATTTTGGGCTCTGGCCGCCGTCTTACAAGTCAGGTCAGGCTCATTTTTGGTTTCCACACTCGTGAACAGATGCTCTAGATACCTTGAGGGTACCAAACTTGTACTTTGATTTTCAGGTCAGGGTCAGGTCATCACAGGTCACGGAAATATTATATCATGCGTCGGTCACGTGACACATGTTTTATGGTGCATTTAGGCCATATATTTCGAATTTGATGTCGTCTGTGTCATTCGAGGTCATTTTGAGTCGAATTTAGTTTAGGTCAGGTCACTTTCAGGTCAAAAAAGGTCAAATTTTGAAGTTAAAATTTTTCAACAAAAAAGGTGTCTATTGGATGCAGTTTGAGCTCAGGAACACGATGGTGCCATTTATATTGGTGTACGATGTCAAATACGTACTGAGAAATTGATTTGAAAAATTAATAATTGTGAATTTTTTTGCAATAATGCGTATAACTTGGCCATTTTTGAAGATATTTAGCTAAAACTTGCTAGAGTTAGTTATAATCATGCGTTCTGTCACATATATTCCGGTTTTTTCGAAAAGTCAAAAACTTTTTGCAAAAAATGTAAAAATATAAATTTTGAATATTATTATATAAAATTTTCGAATTTTTCAAAATTTTGCAAATCCGAGATAGCAGTTTGATAGCGCGGTCAATTCTGAGTCCTTTCATGCAAAGAAATTGGATCTAGCTTAAAAACTGAGCTCTTGGGAGCGATTGCCGTGGTTCCTGAAAATTTGCCCTGAAAATTTCAAGTTCATAACTTTACCAGGGGCGGCTCCAGAGCACTGGGAATTGGGGGGTCCTATTCGTGAAGCGAGTCATTTGGGCGAAGATCACGATGCTGATGTATTATAACTGTATGCACCAGTTTTACGAACAGTGAATGAAAGGTATCATGTGATAACATATACAAAGTTATTGTGCATCCTCTTTTGACACGTTTTTGCTATAATAGGCGGATCCAGGCGTCCAAAAGGGGGGGGGGTATGTTTTACCTCCCAACATAGGTGCCCTGACACCGCCTATGCATGACCAATACAATTGTAGTCGTTCCCTCATAAGAAAATTGTAACATAACAAGACCATTACCACCCTTTTTAGAAACAGTACCAACAAAAACCTTATTTACTATACTTTTTGTGTACCCCCAATCTCAATGATCTGTATCCGCCTATGATTTTTGAAAATGCATATTTTTAGGATCCATGTGAATTCCTGGTTCATTCTCTATCGATCGGTAAAAGTTGCGTTAAGATTGGTTCAGAAACCTGGCCGTGATAAACAGTCTAAAATGTATCTGCAATTTGCCCGTTTTTACCCCCCTCTACCCCCCTATTGACATTTTTTTAATTTTTATTTTTTAGAAATGTAGATCACGTTGAGCGAAATCGAATGCCGTTTGAATTTTGAAAATCGGCCCGTTAGATCTCGAGATATCAAGGGGGGGTCGTAAACAGCCCCCCTGCCACTAATAGGGGTAGCCAGGAGCCTGCCACTAATAGGGTTAAGTAAAACGCCTATGTCAAACGCCTACTTATGACTTTTCTCGCTGATTTACACTATTTGTAGTCGCTCTTTCACACGATCGCTCTATAACCCGTCGCCCTAGTTTTGAGGAATCACTCAAGTCTGTGTGTCGCTGTTCTGAGAGTCGCTATAGACACTGTCGCTATTGTTTCCAGTCGCTGTTTTTCGGTCGCTGTTTTCTGTGTCGCGGTTTGACACGCACACGCCTAATATATCACAAGATGCAAATTAGACGATGTCGCTGATGATAAAGTATCAGCTCAGCTATCAGCTCAGCACTTAACAACTTCAGACTTATTACAAATGGCAAAGACCTACAGGGTCCATTGTCTATGGACTGGGGACGTTTACTCTTCCCTCCCGTTCTCCCTTTATCTCCCCTCCCCCTAGGCTCACTGACAGCTCTCGATCTCGACGGTGCAGTTTTGTTTGTCCAGCGGGTAGTTGTGCAGGTCCATCATACAGGCCAGCGTCGTCGTGAAGCGCATGCCGTACGTGATGCTTCCGTCGCCATGGAGACGCACCATCTTGTTTTTTTCCGTCACATCGTGCAGGTAGCTGCCGAAGACGTAAGTTACAGTTACACAATACACATAAATATCGGATTATCCAAAAGATAATTGTTTTAACCCTCGCATTTAAAGGGGAGGGGTCGAGCGAAACACCCTCTGTTTTTCGCGAACAACTCGCGCAAAAAGCTGCGCATCCCGACGAAACTTTCAGTAGGCTCGAATTTATAAATTTTATACCTACCCGAAAAATTGCATAACCCTGACCCGAATAATCTTTGACCTGTGACCTGTTTCTTGAGACCATGTCAGGCCGGAATCGCGATTCGGCGTAGGTATGACAGCGTTTATTTTCCGCGCGTTTCCAGTCTTTTTTTACTCTTAACGTTCCAACATGTGAAATAATGTTTGTACAATACATGGCGAGTGTCAAGATCACGTGAAGGTCAGGTCAGGGTCCTGGGATGATCTTAGTTCACTTTTTCAGTTTTATATTTCTCTATGGTAGTTTTTGGAACTGATTTCGAATTGCGAATCCATTTGAACATTTACGAAGTAGTTTTGGTGCCTACGTAGTACGTAACATGTTACGAAACTGTCGGTGATGGTTGACACCTATTGTGGATAGCCGGTAGGACGCATACTGGTTGACCTGACCTGGCCCAACCCGACCTACCCCATAGGCACGACTATGCATCATTTTATCAAAACTAAATTAGCTTCGTAATCAGCACCCCGAAAAAATCCATAACAACACTTCATAGAGTTATAACAGCTGCCCCCGATTTTCCTGACTTGGGTAACTGACCTGACCCAAAGGGTCAACCGATGACCTAGGACCATGAAATCATCGCCCGTTCATCGGTTTCCTCTCGTCACGGGCAACATGCTCCTTTTTTCGAGGAGCTGTAGTTTTATGAGGGCATAAGGACGGGCCCGTACTGGACCTCTCTCCCTCTATACTTAACCCGGCAGTTGCTGGGGTATTTCGCCACCCGCCGTTTGCTGGGGGGGGGGCGTTAAACGTCCCCAGCCGATAACTCGAGAACCAATAGGCGCAGCGAAACGCACGAGGCGGCAAACGAAAGAGCGCGACGAGACGCTTCAGATGAGTACTTTAAAGTTGAATTTTGAGGTCACAGGTCGGGTCAAGGTCAGGTCAAACACCTGAAATCGGGCTTTCAGTAGCATGGACTTCAGGACTTCGCAATGGGCGCCTCTCGCCATAAACTCTGTCAAAACGGTGCACAATCCATCTTATAAGCCTACAAGAGTGTCAGCTCCATGTAGGGGTCAGTCAAGCATAGGTCAGGGTCAAGGTCAGGTCAACCGGGTAGGCACATATCCCCGAAAATCAAAACTGATATTCGCAGCCTGTGACACATGTTTTATAGGTAATTTGGGGCGTAGAACACGATGGTGACATTCATTTTATCATATGTGTACGTGTTTGGCTCAAAAATTTCAATTTAAGAAATTCATGTATCATGGTCGTGAAGTAGTCACGAAAAATTGCCAAGATTCAGTTCAAGATTATGGAAAATGCGGAACGATAATCAATAATCGAAGATAGCCATTTGATTTACCATGGTATTGGCAGTCTAATGGCGTTTACGGCATGTCTGTATGTCTATTCTGTGATTTTATATGATTTTTTGAACATATGCCGTTTTTGGTCGAAAACTCAGAAATCATGACGTCACTAAAACCTCGATATCTCAAAAATTTTCCGACCGATTTTTTTAAAACTTTGTCACAATAAACTTCAATCAATTCCCTACAGGTACCCAAAATTTGGCGCGCCTGCGGCGCGCCGTTTTTATGCTATGGCCCGGCGCAAAAAAGTGGGGGCGTTTAACGCCCCCCCCCCCAGCAACTCGCGGGTTAAGGCGTCGTAAAAGGCCAATAAGATTACGGGCGAATGTAAAAATGAAAACAAACAGCACTGATAGTTGATACCCACCAGCTCAAAACGAAGTGATTTGGATTTGGATATAAGATTACAAAAACAATTACCTGTTTTTATCATTGACGAAGTACGTGTCTGGCACCCAGATTTTCTCGGCGAAGTCGCCGGAGAGCGTCAGCATGTCGTCCGTGCTGCTGAACGAGAGCCGCTCGTCCTTCCAGTACTGGTTCAGGTACATGGTGATGGTGTAATCCTGTCAGCACGCGGTGCCTTATGTCAGCCTTATGGTGAAAGGGAAGAGTAGCCGCGGTCAAAGCTAAGTGATATAGACACATTGGGATAAGACGGTCACGACATACGCCCCCTTTCCCGCACTCTGCCGCAATCGTATTGCCGTTCAACGTGTGTACATCAACTAAGCCAATATTTCAAAGTCGGTTATCTGCAGCAGCACCGATCCAATTCATTTTGTTTCTCTGAAGCCACTGGCGATATGGCTGCTTTAGCGCATGGCCGAACCGCCAAATACCACGCAGCTTGCAAGTTATACATGCAAGCTGCGTGAAGCTTGCATGTATGCTTACAAGCTCTGTATGTATGGTGGCGAAAAACGCCATTCATATAATGAATAATCGTCTTCGTAACTTTTTGACTGTACTGTAAGGTAATAAAAAACAGGGGTGCGGAGCCGGAGCCGGAGCTGGAGCAGGAGCCGTGAAACAATAATACCCCAGAGCCGGAGCCGTCAAAAAAGGGGGCGACTCCGGCTCTTTTTTTTAAGAGGAAAATTTATTGACCTCGTTCGGTTTGACAGTAAAAAAAAAAACAGTAAAATATGTGTTATTCAAAATATGAAAAAAGCCAAGGCCCTAAAAAAAAAAAAAAAAAATAGCCTTGTTATGCAAATACAGTAGCAACGTGTGTCGTGTACCAATCCCATCGTCTTTTTTCCACCCGTATTTAATTGCATAGGGGATGTACTGAGTACTGGAGCCGGAGCCGGAGCCGCCGGAGCCGGACCATTTTACTCGGAGCCGGAGCCGGAGCCGCCATGACATTTCACCCGGAGCCGGAGCCGGAGCCGATTTTTTTCTCCGGAGCCGGAGCCGGAGCCGGAGCCGTCTGAGAGTTCCACGGCTCCGCAATGAGTCCGCATCCCTGTAATAAAATGTAGCTGGTTGTCTGATTTCATGATGACTCTCCCGTCGTTCCTAATAGGCCAAACTCGTAAGCAAGTAGTAGTAAGAGTAGGAAGGCGTCTCTGCAAACCAGCCACTGAGCATGTATTTGTCGTTTATTTCTCCGTGTTTTGTGCAAGTCGATCACAGTTTAGGGGACGCATCTCGTAAACCACACGACAGTACAGATAAGTGGCCATACGTTCCAAGCAAAGATCGCTTGTCATTAGTTTTTGGCGAAAAAAAACATTGATAAAAAATTAACATCTTTGGACTTCTAACTCGAATGCCTTCGTACAACAGAAAATAAGTTGAAATGGAATGACGTTAGACTCTGGCGTCGATCAATCCTAAGTCTAACGAATGAGGCAGAGTGCAATAAACTCTTATCACATGTTCACGAAGACGACAGCGTACAATCAATGACGAACGGAACAGTTACAGGCACTGAGAGACTGTCCCAGTCATCCGCCATCAACAAAAGTCACAGTAACTTTCAGTTCCATCGCGCATTTATCAAAAGCTCAAAGTACTACAGCCACCGGGCTAGTACAACTCAGACAGATTCTAAGCATCTGAGCAGCTGTGGTGGTGTCGCTGTACGCTAGTTAGTCGCTGCCCCGCCGTCTACGGCAACTCTACTTCGGTCTCCGGCTGGGTGGTGCCGTCGGTATCGTCGTCTGGTGTCGGGGTCGACACCGGCGGACGCGGCCTCCGGCGCCCACCACCGCTGCGCCGGCGCCCGCCGCCGCCGCTGCGCCGTCCCCCGGGCCGTCCCCGCCCGCCGCGCCTCTGCCCGCCGCGCTGTCGAGGAGCCGGCGTCTCCGAGTCGTCCAGCTCAGTCCCCTCGTCGTCGTCATCTCCGTCTGTCTCCTGGCCGCCGCGGTTCTGTGACCTGGGCCCGCCGCGGCCCCGTCCGCGCCGTCCCTGGCGGAGCTTCCCGGACGTCAGAGGCAAAGCGTCCGTGTCGGCAGGGGCGTCGGCGTCGGTGTCGGGCGCGGCCGGTGCCGGCGCCGGCGCGTCTGCGGCGTCTCCTTGCTCCTCTGAGGAGCCGGCGCTGTCCTCCTCAGAGGAACTACCGGCACTGCCCTGCTGCCGCGCCGGCCGAAGGCGCTTGGCCCGCCGCCCGCCGGGCCGCTGCGAAATAGTGGACACAGTCAGCGGCAGTAGACGGTTTAGTGGTTGCCATTGTAAAACATAAGCAAATAGACAAAGGTTTAATAATATGCACGTTTTTTTCAAATAATTGTCTTATGACGGCTTGACGCCCGTTTTAATTATCTGTAATGGAAAGATCAGCACGATATTCTCCAAACTAATAAATCGTAACACTATAAAGCCGCAAGATCAAAACAGAGTACTTTAAAATGTCATCATTGGTAAAATGGAATCGCAAGTAATTTATTAAAACGTTGCTTTAATTACTAGACATGGTTCATGAAAACCGAAAAACTGCAGTTGCGGTTTATTCGAACAAATATGACTGAGACGAATTCCTGTGTGAAAAGTACGTTAGAATTACTTTCTATTGGATAAATTAGGTGAGGCATCGGCTGATGGGAAGCGATAGCTCACCTGCGGCCGGCCCTCTGCGGCCAGCAGAAGGGCTGCCAGGCACACGCACACCAGCAGCGCGGTGGAGAGACGCATCGTGATCGTATGACGCCCGCCGGCCGGCCGCTGCTTATATACCCGCGAGCGTGCACCCGACTGGGCTGTCACCGGGTCACATGACCGCCCCCCCCCCCCCCTGTGCTCCAGGGGTGCATGGTGGCAACGGTGCGGAGTAGGCATGGAGGGGAGGGGGGTCTATCGAGCCTGTCCGTGGTGCATACAAAGGGCGACCAATGCCACCTCCCTCCATACACATTACACACACACACCAGTCGGTAGTCGATCGGTGTTTTGGCGTCACCGGCGGCGGTTTTTTTACGGGAAATCCATATCGACCTAGACTTACAAACTAACGCATCATTTTCATTTATCACCTTTGAAATGGGTTACCGATGAAGCAAAGATCAGATGCTTAACAACTCGGTGAAAAATGAAATCCAACATGTGTTCATTAAGTTTCAAATTTCACTTAGAACTTATTGCACATTTCATACTCTGTCGGCGTGAATGAGCAGGACAGTAGACTCTCTAATAAACTGAAAAACACACAACTTCTCAACACTACAGCATACCCAAACGTACTGGCCTTTGTGGCCACAGGTTATGCCGAATTCAGCGAACCAGACCCCACCGAATAGCATTTCATGGGTCGATGAAACGGGAAACTCTTCTTCCTGGAAACGCAAACGCTTCCATGTAAAGAAACGTACCGAACATCGGCATATCCATAATGTTGTCTGTAATGGCATCCATGTTAGCTAGGCCGCTAGCTTACGCATGCTCGGCTGCAAATGATTTGGCATGTAGGTATATTTACTCATTGTGTAGTGTAAAAATTGACAATCTTCCGATTCCAACTCTCAAACAAACAATTGACAAGCTGAAATGACCATTGTGATAAGCTAATCAACAGAACAATGACTTCAATCGTTATATCGAAAACATATTATTTACTCAAATAATAATGGCCGTATTTATTTCACTTCACCCTTATTCGATTGATTTCCCGTAGAACTATACTAAATCACATGATTTAGTATAGATGTAATTAATTACGAGTATGTAATTAACCGATAAATAAGCCTGCATAAGCCTCTAGAAACGGGTGAATACGGGCTTTATACTTCACGGACAGCAAACGAGAAGCGCAACTTGCGGCTTTTGGGCTTTTTATTCATGATAATAGTCCTTTATTTAAAGTCCTTTACGGACTTTGAATGTTATCATTGGATTCAGGACTACGCTCCATTCTAAAATGTGTTTTAGCACGAAAGACTGATATAAAAATGTAACGCACATTTATCTAAGCTTGACTTCAACCATGCATTTCTCAAATGTGGAGCGTAGATCTAACCTCTGGCGAGTTTCGAGGCCATTCGCTCCGAGAGAATATCCGTCCCGGCACTTACCATGTTGACTTCCGATATGGAGTCGAAGCTGGCAATGTTCAGCTCCATCCCCACGTAGAGAGGCTGTCCTGAGAACAGACACGGTGGCACTTGTCAGTGGTCAGCTCTGTAGCGGCCGTCCTGGAAACGTCGTACTCAAAAGGAGCATGGGGAACGTCTGCAAATACAAAACTTAGGGGCATGAGTGTCAAACGGACTATCCCACATAGAAAACATAAATGAATCAGCATAAAGTGTTATCTCTACATTCATCTTCATTCTTCAACATCCAAAGCACATCCAATATTCCAAAGCGGTTAATTTCTCATTTCGATTTACTGACTCATATAACCGAGCGATATTCCTACACGCTCGCATCATGTCCCGGACAAATGACGTGCGTCGCTCTGGCGGCACGCGGTCATTTATTGCCCGGGCGCACGGCGTCGTTAGACGGGCGCTGGCATCGCGCACTGCCCGTGATGACGGCCCTGGCTCGGCGCCACCGGTTAATGTCGCAATCATGACGGCATTGCTATTCAGCAGCGGCACACAGCCAGCCAGACGGAGCATCGGGGCAAGGAGGCTTTTGCAGGAGGTTTCGCAGGAAAACGCTTTGCGCTTCTGAGAATCGGAGTTAATAGGAGTCAGCCCAGCAAGGGGCGAGCGGGGTCGGTGAGGGGCCAGGGGGTGCATTCCTGAGGAGACAGCTGACCTAGGTCGATCTCCCGGGCATCCCGGCCTGTTATTTGGTTATCCGCAATGGACTGGAAACGGTCCACTAGTCGTTAGCACGCTGTTAATGGTCGGGAAAGATTAAGGGAGAAATCTTAGAGGAGAAATGACATAGGATATGAGCAAATCTGGACACAGGAAACGCTTGTTGGCTCGAAACAAATTAAGTAGTATGTATATTCTGACATAACTTGACATAACTCGCCCACGAAGCCTAAAATTTTGAAAGATGCGCACCACACGGCCTCCAGTGACTTTGTCTCCCTAACAGCAGAGCCCGTTGCGTAAATAAATAGAATGCTGTGGGTAATTGTCAAATTGGTGATGCTCGTAATCGAAACTTACCTCCAAAGTTCGGTCGCAGGCGAATATCGTAGCCAGTAAGCAACCGGTAAATGGTCTTGGTCACATTGCCCAAATCAGGAGTGGCTATGCCGACTTGCGTGTGCGCACAACTGAAACAGAGACAAAGCGGCGTCAAACGAACGTCAGACGAAAGCGGCAAGGCGAACGATCGTGACAAACACTCTTGGACTCCTAGTCCTCTTCGATGTTGGGACGCGGGACGCAAAAAAAAGTAGTCTCCACTCGGCTTAGCTCAAGAGGTCGTGATATAGAACAGATGAAAACCGACCCAGCCGGACTCATTTGGCGGGACTGAGCACGCGCTTTTCTGAATCTAAATGCATAGATTTCCAGAAAGAAGACGGTGACATGGCTCACCTAATTAGAGGGGCAATAACCAGCAGTGAGAGGAGCCCCCGGCATGTTGATGCCATTTCAGGTGACTAGTCGGGTTTCCAGCTGTCCGTAGCTCAGGATCACCGCGAAAGTCTTCACGGATCGGTTTACAGCCAAGGAGCCAGTTGTCTCGTCAAACAGCGATGTACGACGTGAGACGCATCAGACTTCAGCTGGCCGCTAGTCGAGATCAAGGAAAGCAGCAGACGACCAGTGCCGTTCCGCTTCCAGAGAACGGTCGAGCAAGGTGCGAGCCCTGTACATCACACATTCACAACACCTGGTCACTTTGAGTCAGTTAGACTGAAAACACGCCGGCCACCACCTCATGTAAAATGTCACGCCTAATCTCACCACACTGTCCATCTCCTCAGTCATATACACTTCTCCACAGACAGCCAAGTCACCACCTCTTCACCCAATACCCTTCTGTTGCCACCCGGCCGGTCACTCACACCTCCCGCCCCCTGAACCACTCGCCGAGATGAACGCCGCCCGGGTAATGTCACTCTGCTCAAGTGATCAATGCTCTATCTCTCCTCTCTGCCTGTCGGCCCTCTGACGGGCTGTAAGGCGACACGGTATAGCATCGAGTGTTGGCTGACCATACAGGTGGCAGCACCCTATGCTAGCTGTTGTAACACCATGGTGCGTGCGAGGATGACACAGGATCCACGCGAACAGACAAGGTTCCACCTGGCTAGGAGCATGACATCGAGCATGGCATATCGCTGGGTGTCTAAGCATGTGTTTCAAGAGCCACTCGGCTTCAATGTGTCTATATATCGTGACTGTGTCGAACCCGATTAATCGGCGCATTTACTCTGCGCTCAACTTCCCACACTTTTCCCCACCACACATCCAGAGAGCACGATTGTACAACATGGCGAGTATATTGCTCCTGAGCTAGGACACAGCGGTGCCGGGACCGGCGGTCCGGGGCGATACGGTACAGATCACAGCTCGAGAGGAGGGCAGCCGACCCGGCGCACACAGACAGTACGTACTCCGCGGAGGAGGCTCAGCGTGAGGAATGATGGCAGTGGATTAACCAAACAGCTGCCTCAAGGCACCAACTCCTCTGACAGTAGCGCGGGTGAGGCGGCTCTGCTGCGAACAGGCGACACCTCATTCCGATCACGCGCGGAACATTAACATTCTATGCATTCTTCTCCAGCATCTCAAACGGCAGAATCCTCTTCGTTCCCACTCCCCGCGATACGAAATTACAAACACCCGATGGTAATACAAACACCCAACGAAACTTCCATGGCAGTCCATCATTAACACACACGTCCTTTCCCGCACTTCACTTGCGATAAAAACACTGGCCGCCGCTGCTGCCACGCCGGCGGGCGGGCGGTCCTCAGATCAGATCAGACGAGGGCAGACCTGCCGCCCGAGGGATGAGGATGACACAGTGGACGATGAAGGTGATGATGACGCAGTATGTACAGGGAGACGTCTGCGGCGGTCAGGGCACGCTGTTGGTCGCCGCCGCTACCGACCAGTTGACGGGCACGTTCAGTAGGATGTCCGGCAGCTTCTGTTTGATGCGGATGAAGTGACGCTTGAAGTCGAGACCGCAGCCCTTGGAGAGTCTGAAGTCGACCAGCACGTGGTCTGTCATGTCCAGCACGCTGGCCTTGAAGGTCAGCGGCATCTTTCGCCGGTCCAGCGTCTGGACGGTGATCTGTGGGGCAGTGGAGGGGGTCACAGACTGCACATTACAAAGTGTGAAGAGGCGTGGTGGTGGCCCTGGAGGTAGTCTTCAGGATCCGCTAGCTACGCCGTAGCGTAGCCGCTAACCTATGCCGAGGCACCCCAGCGGCCGGAAGAACAATCAGCAACTGACTAGCGGGCAACGTGAAAAAATTCAAGACACAATGAGATGATTTCAAACACACGGAAGAACTTCTTTTGAAACAATCTCACCGCTCCAACACAACGCAAAGTGCGATTCCCGCTCCCACACAACGCAAAATGCGATTCCACCCCAAATACCACTAGTAAGTAGGTATTAACCCCACCACTAATCATTTATCATCCCATCGACTCTCTCGTTTTCTCCCTCAACTCCCACAGCTCCACCCTTCCCCGCCGCCACTAACCGAGCACGATCCGGTGAAGCGCCAGGTGTAGCCACAGCCGTCGAACAGCTCCTTCAGACGCTCCAGTGTCTCCGGCTGGCTGGTCGTCACGAAGAAGCGCGTCATACGCTTTACCAGTCTCTGCATCGGCGTCTGGGGAGAGACAGAGAGGGCAGACGGTCAGTCGTGACTCGTGCGGCTATTGTCAGACGAATTTTGTGAGGATATATGAGACAGAAAATGCCGAAGCTCACGCTGTCATGAATGATTCGGTGGCAATCGCAGCAACGGTTGTGCGGTCAACTGAAGTCATGTCACAACTCACATCACCGTGGGGTGGCCGTGGGCTGTTAGTGAATTGACCAGCTGTGGTTTAAACTTCAAACTCGACTACATTTCTACAACCACATCACTCAAACAGGTCCCGATGAGCAGGTCTTTAGCCAGGGAACACTAGCGACAACAGACAGTCTCCTCGCCCTCTGCCCCCTCTGCACATTGAAACGGTGCACGACGGATTTTAGACCGATGCTTTTCTGCTTTTCGTGACTTCCAATGTGCTTAGCTGCTCAAAACGTTATCCTCACCGTAACTGACACTGGATTGAAGCAATAAGCTGACCTTATCACAACTTCATGGAGAGCATTATACGGTGGCAGCGGCCCCGTTCTACACGACCCTCACCTGGCTGCTCCCCGTGCCGGGCTGTGTGTTCTGGAACTGCGTGCCCAGCAGCAGCTCGTCGGCGCCGGCCGCCGGCTGGGAGAACGACGGCACGTCATCGGCCGCCCCGGCGCGCGCCGGCGGCGTGTCGCCGCGTAGCGCCGGCGCCGGCTGGGAGCACGCCATCCGCAGCGAGGGGTGCAGCGGCGATCCGTCGGCCGCCGCCGGACACAGCCGCTTGGCTGGTGGGCCGTCCAGCGACCACCGCTCGCCTGGACAAAGGAGACACAGTGGTCAGTGAATGGTGTCAGATAGGTAAAAACAACGAGAAATGAACATTAACTCAGGCTGTCTCATAAAACGTCCTGCAAGATTGAACATATGATCACGCGGTCTTCGCATCCCTAAGTCACATAAAACACTGTCTAATACTATGCAAGAAGATATTGCACCTTTCAAACATAAAAAGACACATTCACCGAACCCATACACCCGGTTCACCAACACCATTGTTCTCTCCTCCCCATCTTGTTGAGCAGGCGGGCCCAGCTGCAGCAGCCGGCGGTCGGTCTACGCCCGATCACACCTTCGGTAACCTAGCTTTATGGCGTATAAAGTACCCATAGGAGCTAGGTAACCAAAGGCGCGCTCGGGGTACGGTGTGTGTGACGTCACCAGATGGCGCGCCAGCTGGAGACCGCACCGCGCCCTGCTTTGGTAGTCTAGCTTTATGACGTCACAGTCACTCATAAGCCAGAGTACCAAAGCAGGGAGCGGCGCCGGGATGGTTGATGTCGTCGCTCCAGTACAGTGTCGGTGAATCCTGAAGTATCCATGTAGAATCTGATATTGGTTGGCCACCGGACATAACCACACGAGATTGAAGAATCGCTACTTCATCCCTTACGTTAACCGCTCATTGCACCTGAGAGATCGTAACATGTTTGGACGATAAAGTTATTGAGTTTGTAAAATGAGCTAAGCTAGCTAACAAATCTCGCTGACAGACTGACACAAAGTGTAACATATTCGCCAGCCATCACTACCTTATTCCGTTCCTTCGGGCCCTTCAACTGCACCAATCTGACCCAACAGCCAGTCTGCCAAACACCTTCCCCACCCCCTTTCAACCGCCCATATACTGACCGTCGGGCCGGAGTCGGCGTTTAAACCAGGCGCTCTCGCGGACCGTTTGCACGGTGGCGCGCCGCGCCGGCGTGTGCTGCAGCAGCTTCTGCAGCAGTCCCAGCGCCAGGCTGTCCACCTTGACCCAGGGCGCGGTGCAGATCTTGCCGTCGCGCCAGCCGCGGTACTCGGGCTGCGTCGGAGTCGGCTCGTCCCACGGCAGCTCTGCCGGCGGGGGGGGGGGGGGGGCAGACGTAAGAGGTGAGGCGAAGACAATTCTGTGCTGAGAATGTTATGCAATATAATCATGAAAACTATGCATGTCACAGAGCATTTATTAAATGTAAAAAAAAAACGTAAATCTAGGAGCATTAATAAACGTAAATATAGGAGCATTGGCTAACCGCGTAAAAAATATCGATATATCGCAGGCATAAGTCGTAGCTACAATGAACAATGCGCTTGAAAACGACATCATGATACGACTCCACTCCTGATTTTGCACATTTTTGTCATAGGCTATCCTATTGCGTCATACATGTATTGTTCTCCAATCAATAAACGATACTGCCGACAGCCTGGTGAAAAATGGGTGTCGTAGCCGTTCCTGCAGTGAAAGGTCCCGCTAGAAGTCCCAATTCACTCAATCCCTCGTGCAACGAAGTACGGGCCGGGCATATCGCCCCGGTGATCTAGCTTTATGACTCTACAGTGCAATCATACAGCTAAACCACCAAAGACGACACACCCGGCATGAAGAGGCGGCGGCAGTAGCAGTAGCACCAGCAGCGGCTGCAGATGCAGCTGCTCCTCAGCGGCGATAAAAGGTGACGCTGTCTTGATGGTCTCCTTGATGGATTCGCGTCACTAGAACGTCTTCTTTGAGTTCAACCAAACGACTCAGTTTTCTCTTCTTCCTTCTACATTTCTAATATTCTTACCTCAAAGGTCTCATACACTCTTCATAGACACACCTTCAATAAGAAGCGAAACCAAGATGATTCCAGAGGAGCGCCCTGCCCCGTAGACTCACCTCCCGTTAGAAGCGCCACCAGGATGACCCCGCAGGACCACAGGTCGGCCGGCTCGGCGCGGTAGGGACCCCGCAGGACCTCCGGCGCGATATAGGGCAGGGTGCCGCACCGCTTGTCCAGCTTACGCTCCTGGTGGGCAAGGTAAGAGCGATACACGTCAGTGGGTTCAAAGAGCAAAGGTAAAGCCTGGGATGTAACACTGTTCAATGGTGCACAGGCAGCCGGCAATCATGGCCGTGAAGACTAACTTCGTTATAGCCATGTAAAAAGGCAGCACAGAAATAAGGACCATCGACCAATATGATCTTGAGCCAAGCTCTTAAAATTACATTAAATTAAATTTTACTATCCAGGCAAAGGATCGTTAATGTTTGCCGTTCGACTTACCGATCCGTTCAGCCTGAAGATAGTGGCCATCCCGAAATCGGAGATTTTGATGTTGTCGTGGTTATCAAGCAAGATGTTTTCGGGCTTGAGGTCGCGATGGGCGATACCCAGCCGGTGGAGGTACTCCTGAAACGGGGTCAGCACATCAGCACTCGAGAAAGAGTACCGCAACACTCAAAGAAGTTGCATATAGTAAGCGTGTC